CGCTGTGGTGATCCCCATTCTCACCCCCTCATCTGCTGCAGCTTGACAAACGAGGGCGCGATGGGGCTCTCCGGAGGCTCTTAGGACGGACAGACGGGCCCGCGAGGGTGCTGGGCGGGGCGGGGCGGGGGTGGGTGGTGGACCCAGCCTCGGGACAAGGCTACTGCTGTGCGGCTAGCGGCTCCCAGCACTAGGGGCGGTATCCCGCGCGTGCGGCCCGACGGAGCGCGGAGGCCGGGGGCCGACCCTGCGCAAGCGGAGGGTCACGTCTCTCCAGGCGGGCGCCGTGGGGGAAGCGCACCGCCGTTCCGCTGCACGAGAACCCAAGGCAGGGACTTCCTAGCGAGCTCTGGAAGGAGGGCAGGCCGAGGACGCGGCTGCCGCGTGAGCGCCGGGGAGACGCCCGAGAGGGCTGCGGCGGCCCCCACAACTCCGAGACCTCTGGCCTCTGAGGCTGTGTTGCGGGGTGTGTCGCTGTCCCCGGCGACACCGCCGCTCGCTGCAGAAACCCGACTCGGCCCGACTCTCCGCCGCTCCTCCGGTCCGCGGTCCCAGGCAGCCAGAAAAAGAAAGCATCGATTGGATCAAAGAAGCAAGAACAAGAAACAGAAAACGAGGAGGAAGAGGCGGTCTCCTCGCCAGCGCCCGCCGCGGCCCAACCGCTCGCGTCCACGCAAGGCTGGAGCCCGGCGAGCAGCGCGCAGGCGGAGCTGAACCAGGCTGCGCCGCCGAGCCGCAGAGCCGACTGGCGCGCGCGGGCGTGCCGCTGCGAGGCACTGGCTTACCAGCGCTCGACACCGTCAAAGGGATCCTGGCCGCTTTATGGGTTCCGCTCAACGCCGTCCCACATCTCCAGGTGTGGGGTAATGACAAGCAGCAGATATGGGAGTGCTCGTCCAGGAAATATCCTAAAGAAAGCAATAGTTTCAAACTAGTTACAATCTTACGACTAAGGCACTGTCACTGTGCTTGCTACACAGGATTTGTTTTAAAATAAACATTGTATTTTGAGATAATTGGAGGTGTGCATGCAGCTTTAAGAATTAATGAAGAGATCAGTGGACACATTATCCAGTGTCCACCAATGATAAGTAACTCCTAGCAAAACATCACAACCAGCATATTTGCATCAAAGGATTTTCATCCCAAGAATCCTTTATGTCGCCCTTCACGACCTATTAACCTAAAAATAAAAGGCCAAAGTGAGCAGCAACAAGCATTCATTTGAAATGAAAACAGAATAGCTATTCAGGAAGCACTGATTCAGGCCAAACCCCAAACAGTGTTCCAATAGGGGGTGAAGGCAAGGCGTTATCTGTGAGGAAGGGAAGGGGAACAGAACCATCAGGGAAGGAAAGAATTTCCGCAGGTGCCATAACATAATGACACTAATTCTAAACAATGTTGATTTCAGTCCAATAATCACAGGTCCTGTAGTCACAGCCACTGCTTTCTAGTTATCTTTGCAAACAGGTCTTTCGGACACAATGCTGCTGAGGCGCCTTCCAAAGGTTATTTTGTCCCATTTCAACATCCCGAAGTCTCATGCACGTGCAAGGCAGTCCTTGTGGGGTGGCAGCTCTGGCTCCATTTTAAATGGCTCCGCGTGCATCCCTTCCTACCAGCCACACCGGCTTCCCGCACAGCAGCGTCACCCCCCTCGAGTCCTGGCAACGACCCATCTGTTCTGTGTTTCTACACTTTTGTCAATTCAAGTATTTTCCACAACTAGAATTACGCAGCATGCACCCTATCAGGGTTGGCTTTTTCACTCAGCGTAATTTCCCTGGAGATTCATCCAGGTTGTCGTGTGTTCCATTCCTTTTATTGCCAGATAGTACTCCATGGTGGGACACCTGGGTTGTTTCCAGTTTGAGGCCATTATGAATAAAGCTGCTAAGAACACTTACGAACAGGCTTTTGTGCACTCATTAGCATTGCATCTCTAGGGCAAATGCTGAGTCATATGGTAAACACCAGCCTAATGTTGTAGGGAGCTGACGGATCCTCCCCAGAGTGACTGTACAACTTGTCCCCATCAGCAACCTGTGAGCAATCCTGTTTCTCTGCACCTTCACAAGCACGTAGTGTTGTCACTATTTTTATTTTAGCCATTCTGACAGATGTGCAATGATATCACACTGTGGTTTTAATTAGAATTTTCCTATTGGCTACTGATAATAAACATTTTCTCATCTTTTATAAGCATAGCTTTTTCCGTGCATCCTATATTTTGTCTATTTTCTAATTGGCTTATCTTGGTGAGTTAGAGATTTCCTTATATAGTCTAAGTATGTCTTTGTCAGATGTGTACGTGTTTGGGAAATGATGCCCCAGCGTATAGATTGAATTTACTTCATTTTAACAGAATTGCACAGCAGCCATTTTAAATTTTGATGCAGTCCGATATACCATTTTTCCTTTTATGGGTCATGCACTTGGTGTCATATCTAAAATCTCTTCACCAAGCTGTAGAAATTTTATTCCATGTTGTTTTTTTAAGAGTTTTATTGTTTTACACTTTGGGTTTAACTCCATAATCCATTTTGAGTTACTTATTGCCCACAGTTAAAGGTTTAGGTCAAGGTTTACTTATTTAACCTCTGGATGCCCAATTGCTCCAGCATTGCTTGTTGAAAAGAGCTTCTTCAACTTCAAGTCTGGAGTGTATGTGTCCAAAACAAGCAAGCAAAGAAACCCAGTGGCCTCACTGCCACGTTGTTCTTGGGTCCTGAGTCTCCAGCTGGTCGGCCTTCCTCTCAACTTTTAGTCTTATGTCTTTTTCATATACAATGTGCACAATTTTCAGTTGGAAAATCAGATCATTCTTTACAGAAGTGACATTCAATATACAAGGGAGCTCAGATAGACCCAAACAAGATGGACCCAAAGAGGCCCACACCAAGACACATCATAATTAAAATGCCAGAGGTTAAAGACAGAATCTTAAAAGCAGCAAGAGAAAAGCAGGTAGTTGCCTACAGGGGAGCTCCCATAAGATTGTCAGTTGATTCCTCAATAGTAACTTTGCAGGCTAGAAGGCACTGGCAAAAAATATTCAAAATGATGAAAAGCAATGATCTACAACCAAGATTACTCTACCAGCAAAGCTATCATTTAGAATCAAAGAGCAGATAAAGAGCTTCCCAGACATGAAAAAGAATGGAGTTCATCATTACTGAACTAATACTACATAAAATGTTAAAGGGTTGTCTTTAAGAAGAAGAAAAGATCATAAATTTGAACAGTAAAATAGCAATAAATACATATTTATCAACAATTGAATCTAAAAAACCCAAACAAACATAACCAGAAATAGACTCATAGATACAGAGACCAGTTTGCTGGTTCCCAGATGGAAAGGGGGATGGGAGGATGGGTGGAAAGAGAGTAAGAAGTGCAGATTGGTTGTTACAAAATAGTCAGAGGGATGTAAAGTACAGCATGGGGAATACAGTCAATAATATTGTAATAATTATGTATGGTGTCAGGTGCTAGATTTATTGGGATGATCACTTAGCAACTTATATACATGTCTAATTACTGGGTTGCACACCTGAAACTAATACAATAATGTATGTCAACTGTAATTGAAAAATAAAATGATTTTTTAAAAAGTAGTTACATTGTGGAGTCTTTGTGTCTATTTAGATAGTTCTCTGGGTCACTGAGGGGCAAGCTCGGAATCCATCTGAAGTTCCTAGTGCCCAGAAGTTTTTCTTTCTCTCTTTCCAGCATAGATTTGTATTTTTTAATACATTTTATCTGCACATCAAGGTGTTTGTACAAGGGAGGTAGTCTGCAATAGCTCACTTCACGGAGATACAAAAACCAGTATCTAGATCAGAGTTAACTTCAAGTGCTGGCTCTTGACAAGAGAGAGTTTGCACTCAACTGTAAGTCACACACTGCTTTCTTTACTGAGGAAGCCTTGCCATGAAAACAAGTCAGCTTACCTGCAAAGCATATCTGGTGATGTCATTGACTTACAGTCTTGCACAAGCCCCTCACGTCAGCAGTCCCCAGGCCGCACTCCGGGTAGCAGAGGTCTGGACAGCCCGTTTGACAGGGAAGGTAGTATTTCCACCCTGAGTAACTAATTCCTGGTGGTTCAGAGTTGCCCCATGTGTAGAGAAGCAATTATCAATATTTATTAATGATTTAATGCTATGTGAGGTGTGGTAGATTAAATGCTCCTGGATGAAGTGAACCCCAGATGATTTCTTATAACGAAAGGCAAAACGCACGCTCTGCAAGCCAGCTTTGCCTCGGCGTGCAGGCTCCGTCGGCTCGAAAGCCTTCCCTTGCGTGACATTCAGCCTCCTCTCCAACCACAGCTGCCATTTCCACCTTCTGCGTTAGGTGGGCAGATTCCGTTTTCCCTTCATCACAGTCGGATCATTTGGCAGAGATTTTGTAAATTCATAAAGCAATTTATCTTTAGTAGTTTAGATAAATAAGTAAAAAGATCTCTAGGCACCCTTTTTTAAAATTAAAGAAAACAATTTAACTCAGTAAATACAACCAGGTACAATAAACATGAATTATTTTATTAGAAAATATCACTGTTACAAAATTAAAAATAAATAAGTTGCTGCCACAAAATTGCAGCATATTATATAGTGAACTTGTTCCTTACGGTCAGTTAAGAAAAAGAAGACAGGAGTGAACAGGACAAAGAAGGGAAACAGACATGAGGGGAAGCAATTTGGAGAGAGTAAGAAGAGGAAGAAGAAGACAAGAGAAAGTGCTTCAGTGAATGAGATAGTTACATGAGGTCAGCAAGGGGGGCTCATCCTCTAAGTGCTGTCCCCAGAGCCACGCCACGGGGATGGTTTCATTGCCCTTGAGCCTTAGTCCGTGTAAGGAGATGCCCCTGGTCTCTCTCAAAGGCACTGATGACAAGCTCGCCCTCCGGCAGGCGGAGGACTGCGGAGCCAGCGGTGGCCTCCCTGCCTGCTTCACACCTGCCCCCGGGGTCCGGCGCCCCGCTCCCAGCACTACTGAGGAGGCTCAAAGACAACGGTCAACTCGGGCTTTTCTTCTTGAAGCGTTTCTAATGCGCAGATTGTCTCATAATTAAAATACATTTTACACAACCTGTAAAAGCAAAGAGAGAGCCTTGAGTTACACTCTTCAAATGAACACTCTCGGAGCTTTGGCCTCAAACGTCTCATCTCACTTCCCTCGCCCGCTCACGCTCCTCAGCGCTCCAGTGTTGCGCTGCATACCTGGTGTGGCTTGTTACGTTTGAATCTTCAAGTTTGAACATGTTTAAACATAAGAGAAGAGCATGATGAATCTCCTATGCCTGTTATGCAGCTTTGACAATTAACAGACAATCTGTTTCAATTAAACACAGCATGTCACCTATAAATAGTTCATGGAATGACACTAAATGAAGAAGACTTTTTAAACGTAACCACAATGCCACTATCACAGCTTAAAAAGTTAATAATTTCTTAATATCAACATATGCCCAATAGGTTTAAATTTCTTCAACTGATCATTTTTTTAATCATATTCATCTATCAGGAGCCATATAAAGTCAATAAATTGCAATTGCTTGTTATGCCTCTCAAGTCTTTTTCAACATAAATTCTTTCTCCCTCTTTAAAATTTCCCTTACCACTTAACGGAGATATCAGACGATCTGTCCTGCCTTATTTCTAACAACTGATGGTGCTGTGGAGTGAGAGTGTACGTGCCTCCAGAATTCCCATGCCGAGGCCCTGACCTCCCATGACGGTATTTGGAGATGCGCCTTCAGAGGCGATTAGAGTGAGACAGGCCACTGGGCCGGTCCTCGCGATGGGATCCGCGTTCCTCTAGGGGGTGATGCCAGTGTTCTCGTCTGTCTGCCATGTGAGGACACAGCACGAGGGTGCCCACGGCCAGCTCAGAGGAGAGCTTCCCCCAAAATGGAGCCAGCAGACCCCGGACTTCCCCTCCTCTGGAGCTGTGAGAAGCGAAGGTCTGTTGTTCAGGGGCCCCGTCTGTGCTATGCTGCTGTGGAAGCCAAGGCGACAGCACAGGCTGACTGCATCCGCATGCGCCCCAGTCTGTCGGGAGCCCGTCCCTCTTCCCCAGAGGGGCTTTCAGGGCTGGGTGAGCGATCCCCACACTGCAGCGGCTGGGCTTCATCCTGACCAATCCCTCCCTTTGCTCCTGTAGCTCTCTTAGCTCTGTATGCTTGGCTGGTCCTGCAGCAAATGCGCACCCCCGTGTCGGCCCAAGGATGCAATGCTGACTCGAACTTCTGTTCGAACCTGCTTTCCAGCCGGTTCTGGCCTTGAGGTCATGAACAAGGACAGAGGTCCCTGGGCTAATAGAATTTAAACTCCTGAGTAGGACATAGATGACAAATAAATGAGAAAACGGCCTAGCACACACGATGGTGGACAGCACTGGGGGGGGGGGGGGGGGGGGGCGAGAAAAGAGGGAGGAGCGCGCTGGCCTGCTGTTCTCGATGGGAGGGCAGGAAACACTCACCCGGAGGAAATCTTTCAGCAGATCATGCGAGGGGCGCAGGAGCAAGGCAGGTAGCTACCCAAAGGGGAGAGTCCCAGGCAGAGGGGCGAGCAGGGGAGAGTTCAGGGAGCCTGTGGCTCTGTGACAGCGCACGAGGCCAGTGTGCGAGCAGCAGGAGGGACAGGGCGAGGAGAGGACGCACTTGCAGAAGCGCCACGGTTAGAGCACACAGGGTCTTCAGCACTCGGGGTGAGTGTGACAGGCAGTCCCCAGTGCACGTCGGCGGGGGTCTCCTGTTTCAGCAGCACGCTCCCTCTTGTGGCAACAAAACGGATGCGGAGAAGCCCGGCAGAAGCCAGTGTGACAGTCCAGACTAGAGGTGACAGCGGCCTGACCCGGGGTGAGAACCATGAAGCTGGCAAGAGGTGGTCCGCGGGCGGGCCTGCCGTGGGAGCAGAGCGCACAGGCCAGGCCGACAGAGTGGACGTGCTGAAGGAAGAGGGGCATCGGAAGTGGCACCAGCCCTCTCTGGCCTGAGAAGTTCGGACAGTTACCAGACTGAGACGGGGAAGAAGCAGTTTCACACAGCGTGGAACAGCCCAGGTTTGGATCTGAACATGTAAGTCCAGGAGGCTTATCAGACACCCAAGTGGGCAGGGCAGATAAGCATTTGGACAAGGTATGCATGGAGACATAAACTGGGGGTACAGCACATACAGGGGAAAGCCAGAAGACTGGATGATGTGCTCGAGGGAGAAGGTGTAGAGAAGAAAACTGGGGCAGTGGCTGAGTCCCAGGGATTCAGCTTGGAGATGAGGACAACGAGCGGCAAGAAAGAAGACTGAGCAGAACCAGCGCGAAGTAGGAGGAAACCCCGAGGACAGCATGTGGCCTCTGCAGCCTGAGGAGCAGCCGAATGCAGTGGGGGCGTGGCCCTTGGTGTCAGCGGAGGACCTGGCCCTCGGCCGACCGGAGGCTGTGACGCTCCCAGGAGCTCTTCCTGGAGAGGCAGGAGCATCGCAGGGGCACCCAGGCGCGGCAGAGGCCGGCGGCCGTCCCCCACTGCGTGGGCTGAATGTGGCACAACTTCCCTGCTCAGTGTTTCTGAGACCCTCTCTCTCCTCTAAGAAATCCTGAAAACCAAGACCAACAACACCCCTCTATGCCACGACCTTCGCGGTCCGGAGGCACTCACTACAGGCAGGTCTAGTTCTGGGAAGTCCAAGCACCTGCAGAAAAGCAACTCCGTTTGGCTGCTTTCAGTGGGCCTTACATTTCCTTTAAGAAGGTGGAGGGAAAGTCTTTTCACTCCAACTGAACCATCCTGAAAGTCTGCATGAAGCTGAATACGTAGTTCATGACCCCTGTACCCTTTTATAAAATATCTGCAACAGCTGGCCCAGGCCCAGCTTCACCCTGGGTACAAAAAAACCACCTTGGATTTGGTAAGTGGCCAACTTTCCTGGGGACTTGGAGCCCGGCCCCTCACTCGCCGCGGGGAGCACTTACTGAAGGCTTTTCAGGAGGCAGCTCTGCTGCCTCAGCACTTCGCACAGCAGCATGACCCCGAGGTCGCCCAGGTCGTTGCTGCCCAGGCTCAGCTGTCGCAGGCTCTGGTTGGAGGTCAGGAGTGTGGAGAGATCCCAGCAGCAGTGTGAGGAGAGGCTGCAGCTGTCTAGTCTGCGAGAGAGCAATTCAAAGGAAACATCCCCTTATCCTCTCCCGTCTCCCCGAGCTTAGCCTGTAGCATTTCACATAAAAAGTGCAGGATGAAGAAGCGTGGAGCAACTGGATGTGCCGTGGTTATTCAGATGAGAGTAACTGTTTTTCCAGGCCACTGGATTATCCAGATCCAATTAGCAATAGCAGTTTCTGAATTGATTTTTCCCAAATTGGGTGTCTCCCCCTAAATTTCCTTAGAACATAAGAGCCACCATGCCACGCACACTCTCTTGCGGTAGAGAGATTGGTGGTGAGAGGAGCCCCCGCTGGCACCTGCAGGGAGAGCCACCCCCGCCCCACCCCCACCCCCACCCCCAGGTCAGACCCGTGGTTCAATCTCACAGGTCAGACTCTTAGGTACGGATGATCTCATTGTCACTTCCCCAACCCCGCCCCCACCGCCCTCCCATCAGGGGGCAAGCTAAGGAACTTACTCTAACATCTGAAGCTTGCAGTTGGGGTGTAAGAGCCCCTTACACAGCAGCTTCACGCCCGCGTCTCCAAGAGTGTTGCCCCGCAGGTAAAGGTGTGTGAGGTTCTGGTTAGCACTGAGCACCGAGGACAGAGCTGGACAGCAACCCGACGTGAGGCCCGCCTTCACCAGCCTGCAGAAGTGGGACAGGAATCCTCAGGGCGCAGCCTTCCTCGGGCACAGCTGTGTCACCGCGGAGCCTCCTATATCGGAAACTCTGCATCCTCCCTCTCAGCGGTCCGAGCCAGCCGCACGGACAACCCGAGGAAGCATAAATCCCTGTCTCTGGCCCCACAACACACACACGTGACGGTCTCAGTAGACGCCGTGCTGGGGTCAGAAGAACAGAGAGTGAAAGCAAACTCAGCCAGACGCATCCACCGCCCTCCCCTCCCCACACAGAGGCGCGCCGGCCGGGGTGCGCCGCGCCCCCGCCCCCGCCGCTCCCTCCAGAGGGACAGCCAGGCTGTGCGGCGCCCTGCAGGGTCGCGCCTCACTTGACTCGCACATCCGCCAGGCAAGGCAAGGTGGCCGTGCGTGCGACGGTGAGTGTCGCATATTTTGTACAGATGAGAAATGGTAGGCTCATCAAATGGCGTGTTTCTCTTAAGGTCAAAGAGCAGGCGTGCAGTGGGGAGGGAGCCCAGACTTAAGCCTCTGGGGCCCCCTGCCTGCTGCCTGCCTGCCCACGGACGCTCCGTCCGCCACAGGCCCCCCTGAAGAGACAAAGGCCTGGCCACAAGTTGCTCTCATTGGCGTTAAGATGTTGGAAGCACTGCTTTTGGGTCAGGTGAGCTTATTTTCTCACCCAACAAGAGCGCGAGGGCCCCGGAGCAGAGGGCCGCCACTCCCGGGCAACACCCAAAGCGCGCGACGCCTGACACCGAGGCGCCTGAGCGGGGCCTCCCGCGAGGCCTCCGGGGAAGAACTTCTGGTACAATCACATTTCTTCATGCGAGGATTTTCCACAATCCCAGGTTGTTGAGCTCTAACGTGTCTGAGAGTCAGGAACAGTGGGAACCCAGAAAGAAGTCGCTCAGGCCGGGGAGCAGGAACAGATGGGTCCGCCCCTGCTCTCCGCCTTCCCCTGAGTCAGCGCGAGCAAGAGCGGGCGGAGGCAGCAGGACGGGAGGGACGTGGACCCAGGAGGGACGAGCAGAAGCCAGGCAAGTCGCACGTGGCTTCTAGCACGTTTCGTCTCCACCTAAGAGGAATTTCACCTCTGGGTCCCTAGGAAACACGCAGAGGGGTTTGCGGGATCACTGGCTGTTCCAGGCCTCCTACTGTATCCCCTCTGAACCCACCTGCAGAGTGTAAGCGCCCACGTGATGGCGTTAGGAGGTGGAGCCTTTGGGAGGTTTGATCAGCTATGCAGAGCGGAGGCCAGGAGGGGGACCGGTGCCCTTGTAACCGAGACCCCGAGAGCACCCTCCCCCCGCCCCGGGTGAGGACTCAGTGGGGAGGTGACTGCGGGCCCTCAGCAGGAACCAGGTCATGTATCAGAGCCTTGCTCTTGTGCTTCTGGCCTCCAGACCCGTGAAAAAGTAAACGTTTGTTGTTTAAGCCACCCCGTGTATGGAAGTTTTGTTACAGCAACTCAGACTAAGAAACTGGCAAAAGGGAGAACATCCCAGGAGGCTAGAGAGAGGCATCAAAAAGGGGAAAAAAAAATATTTTGAAAGGTACAGAATGGCAAATAGTACTACTATTTCCAGAGAAGGACTAGAAGGGATTTTGAAACAGGTGCTTGAAGAGCACAGGGAAGTGGCGGCTGTCCGACGCAGACCTGGAGGCTGTGAAGAATGCCTCACATCTCCTCCCTCGGTTCTCTCCCCAGGGCCACCTTCCCCAGTCTCTCCTCTGGCCCCCTCTGGCCCCGCCTCTGCTGGAGCCCAGGGTGGTCCTTTCACAGGGCTGCTCACAACATGGAACCTGTCGGGTTCAGAGTGAGGATGGAGGAGAAAGAATCGCCAAGAGAGAGAGAAAGGGAGAGAAAATGAGAGAGACACATAGATATGAGAGAGAAACATCCATCTGTTGCCTCCTATAAATGCCCTGACAAGGGATCAAACCTGCAACCTAGGCAGATATGCTGAACGTGGAGTCTCCTGGTCGATTCTCCCTGAACTCTGGGAGGAAGCATTTACAAGTGAGAAAAAACATGCCCATGACCACTCTTTCTAGTTATTTAATCTTCTCCACGTTATTCAATGTATCAAAGTCATGGGAGATATGTCAAACAGTAAAAAAAAAATCAGCTGTTCAAAGAACTTTTACCTTAGTTTTCAAGGTTAATGGCAAGGTGCCCAATTAAGATGACCTGAGATAGACTGTGTCATTACCCAGAATTCTGACATCTGGACAGCATGCTGAGTCAGAGAAAACATCAGCATTATCCTATTACCTTCCATGGCCACCCAGTGACCTCAGATACTGAGGAGTCAGTGTTCAAAGTCACTGCTCATCCTTTCCAGTTGCCAAGTACCCATCTGCAGAGAAATGTATTTTGTAAACCAGCAAAAAAAGAATGACTCATATCTTAGTGATCAAAATGTTGGTAACCACTGAGACTGACGGATGGGTGCACAGCATGTAATGAACTTCTGAGAAAATCAAACAAGCAAGTCTTCCCAACCAGGCCACTATGTCAAGGGAAGGCAACCAATGCCATGTGTCTTGGTTTCAACTGATCCATTCAACGCCCACATTGACTGAGCAAAGATATCGTCTCATGCACCATATTAAGTTAAAAATATATTGTTTTTAAAAAATTTTTAATGATGCTATATACCTTATGTCACAAAAAAGTCTCACAAAGAAAACTGAGGAAGAAGATTCTACATTTGTTGAATATTTACTACGTACCTGGCTATGGGATGATGATTTTAACAGGATCAGCTCATTGAGTCATTACTAAACCAAGATACAGGTACTGTTTTAATCTGTATTTTTAAATGGAAAAAAGGCAGAGGATGAAAGAAATTACTTCAAGACTGAGAAAAAGAAGCTTCCTTGATGGAAGCTGGAGGTTGGAGAGTGTGGGGATGCTCTAGGCCAAGGCAGACGGTGCGCAGGAGTGCGGCAGGGTGGAAGAGCGTGCCAGGCTCTAAGGACTAAAGAAACAAATTCATTAAAACACCAAACAGAGTGGAGAGTGCGGTGGGCAAAAGGGTATAGCAGACATCTAGCGGTGGTCAGGGGCAGCCTTGCAAGCACAGGTCAGATATATGCTACCAACTTTACTCCGACTTCAAAGAAGAACTTTTCAAGGCATTTTAAGCAAAGACTCAAAGTTATCAAATTTGCATTTGAAAGCTCCCTCTGGTGTTATGTGGAAGAAACATTAGAGGTAGAGGGAACTAAAAGTTTTTTGGGTTTTGTTTTTCTTTTTTAAAATTAGAATTGTCCTCTCTTTACTGGCTAGTCAGCCTCCTGAAGTCTCCATAGTCAACAAGGCGTGGGAGCAGGCAGGAACAAAACAAAGAGTGAGGTGGGGAATGGGTTACAAAAGTTAAAGGACCTTGTAAATGCTCAGTGGGAAACACTTGTATAATATTGGGGTAAAGAGATAATGGCCTAAAGTTCAAGAAAAGAAAATTTGGCTTTACCTAACAAAATATAAAATGCCTGGGAGACTTCAGGCCAAGATGGAGGCATAGGTAGACACGCTTTGTCTCCTTGCACAACCAAAAGAAGGACAACAACAAATTTAAAAATGAAAAAATAACCAGAACTCCCAAAATCAAACTGTATGGAAGTCCAACAACCAAGGAGTTAAAAAAGAAACATTCATCCAGACCAGTAGGAGGGGTGGGGGCCGGCAGCTGGGGTGGAGAGGACGCATGGCAAGGCGGCAGCTGACAGACTGGGTGGTCCCACATTTGCATGTGGCTAAACTGCAGAAACAGCTGGGGAGCGAGACAGACCCCGCAACCCAGGGCTCCAGCATAGGCAAAATAAAACCTCAAAGCCACTGGCTGTAAAAGCCTATGGGGGTTGCGGTGGCAGGAGAAACTGCCAGTTACTTGAAAGCAGCCAAGAGCCAAGCAAGCTGCATTGTTCCTTCTCTGGCCCCTCCCCCACATACAGTGCCACAACACAGAGAAGTAGGTAGCCCTGCCCAGGTGAATACCTAAGGCTCTGCTTCTTACAACATTAACAGATATGCTGGCCCAAATGAAAGAACAGATCAAAACTCCAGAAAAAGAACTAAGCGACAAGGAGATAGCCAACCCATCAAAACACTGGTAATCAGGATGCTCACAGAAATGATTGAGTATGGCCACAATATAAAGGAAGAAGTGAAGGCTATAGAAAGTGAAATAGAGCAAAATATACAGGGAACCAATAATGAAGAGAAGAAAACCAGGACTCAAATCAATGATTTGGAACAAAAGGAAGAAATAAACATTCAAACAGAACAGAATGAAGACTCAAGAATTCAAAAAAATGAGGAAACACTTAGGAACCTCTGGGACAACTTTAAATACTCCAACATCCAAATCATAGGGGTGCCAGAAGGAGAAGAGGAAGAGCAAGAAATTGAAAACTTGTTTGAAAAAATAATGAAAGAAAACTTCCCCATTCTGGCAAAGGAAATAGACATATAAGTCCAGGAAGCACAGACAGTTCCAAACAAGTTGGACCCAAGGAGGAACACAGCAAGACACATCATAATTAAATCGCCAAAGATTAAAGATAAGGAGAGAATCTTAAAAGCAGCAAGAGAAAAGGAGACAGTGACCTACAAAGGAGTTCCCATAAGACTATCAGCTGATTTCTCAAAAGAAACCTTGCAAGCAAGAAGGGGCTGGCAAGAAGTACTCAAAGTCATGAAAAGCAAGGAACTACATCCAAGATTACTCTCTCCAGCAGAGTTATCAATTAGAAAGGAAGAGCAGATAAAGTGCTTCCTAGATAAGGTAAAGTTAAAGGAGCTCATGATCACCAAGCCCTTATTACATGAAATGTTAAAGGGATTTATCTAAGAAAAAGAAGAAGATCAAAACTATGAACAGTAAAATGACAACAAACTCACCACTATCAACAATTGAACCTAAAAAAACAAAACCAAAAACTAAGCAAATTAGAACAGGAACAGAATCATAGAAATAGAGATCATATGGAGGGTTG